AATTATATAGTATAGCGAGTGAATGAATAACAATTGCGTGTGTTTCGCTCAGGCGTTAATATACAAGATCATAACTACATAGAATGTCTTGCATAGATTTCGTACTGTCACCGCTGTCACGCCTGCTGTGCACACTGTCACCCTAACCTCACGCTAATACAGCTCGGGGTCGCTTTCCTATGCATCGTGTCATCCATCGTAACGGCATGCCAAGTCTATACCATCGCAGACCCGCCGACACCGAACATGGAAGTTTGCCGCAGAGATGGCGTACTCGCCGCGTCTACCGCCATTCGTTCATTCGTCCACACAACCGTCGTCGCCGTCGCCGCACGGCGTCGTCCGCCCCAGCCACGACAGAGACTGCGCGGCGGCGGCCGGCGTTCGTCTGCGTTGTCGTTGCCGCCGCGCCGACCAGCGATCGTCGCGGCTCGCGCGTCGACCTGCCGCTCGAAGATGAAGTGGCGGCGCGCGAAGGCGACACGGAGGCGGCGAAACCGCCGCGCCCGATGCGATGTGGCTAGCGGCTTGCGCGCCGACGCGGCCGCCGTAGTACGACACGAAGACGACTGAGCCAGCAGATGTCGCGACGTCGTTCATCGCCGAGAATGGACGCGCCGATCGACTCGGCTGCTGAGCGCGGGAAGCGGGCTCGATCGCCGTTCAGCACGAGGTCGCGTTAAGCCGCCGAGGACGTGCCCTTTGCCCATCAGCACGAGCACGAACAGGCGGACGCTGAAGCCAGGTAGACGTTCGCGCAAGCGCTGCGCACGACGCGCAGCACGCCGCGCGCCGCCGATGCGCCCAGCGCCGTCTCTTACCCATCGTCGCCGGTCGCTCGACGTCTGCTCGATGGCCGCCATCTTGTTTCCTGCGCTATTTTGTGTTCAGGTCGGCCATCTGTTTTCCGGTCGCTACGATTTTGTCGCTCAGCAGCGCAGGACGGATTTGGCGGTTACCTTTTACTTTCTTTTTTCTCTCTAGAACATCGACTATAGATACACTTGCACTTCAGCTGCTATGAGTTGCACAGCTAAACCTTACTGAAAACTAGTAGTTAGCTAACCGTCAAACTTTGTACACATTGCGCGCCGGTATGACTCGATTCTGCTAGTCGCGTTGTGAGTAAGAGCTATGAATGAATAGTGAAAGAACCTATATCTACGTTTATTCATTTGACAAAATTGTCAGGTCAGAATCTGACGCTTATATAATTACCTGTTACTTGGTACGTACAGGTCTATGGCTTGCTGTGGTGTGCCGCAGGTAGTGTGTGCGATGTGTGTGCACGTCGTGGTATCGTGTTTGTGCTGCTGAGCTGCGCGCGTGTGTATCGGTGGTGTGCGGTGTACGGTGTTGTGTCTCCCTGCGTGTGTAGTGTGTGTGCTGTGTGTGTGCTCGGCGTGTGTATGTGTGTGTGTCGTGTGTGTGCACGCGTGTACGTGTTTTGGCCTGCTCGCGCCGTAGTGTTAGCGTGTGTGGCGTTGCTGTGTGCACGCGCGTGTACGTTTTGCGTTGCTCGGCGTTGCGTGTGTATGCGGGTGTGTGCGGGTGTGTGTGGCGGGGTGTGTATCGTAGCGTGTTCACGGTGTTAGCGTGCTGCGTCTTGCGTTTGTGCTCGTTACCGTACGTGGCCGTGAGTGCGTGGTGCCGCGCTATACGTGCGCGGCGTGCATGGCGGTTGCGTGTGCGTGTGTGGCAAGTGGCGCGCGCGTTCTGCGTACGTGTCGTCCTGTGCGTGCGTGTTGTATCGTGGTCTCATTAGTACACCATGGAACGGCGGTGACCTTTGTAAAATTGATGCCAAGATCCCTTTCCAGCGATCAGTCGTAAACTCTTATTCCCATGATAAGGTTAGATCGCTCAAGACGCGCAGCGTATGGCCAGCGACGAACATGACGCATGACTACCAGCTGACGCTCACATTGGTATTTGCACGCGCAAGATATATATTTGCTATCCGGGTCGCGCATGCATGTTTGGACTGCTACCCATGACAACTAAGATGACCTTCTCAATCACGGGATGATGGAACCAGACCACTCTCTATCGTAACCGGTTTTTAGTAAACAGAAAAAAATAAGTGTTCCTACCACCAAATATGCTGCAACTGTGGATTTTACGCTAGTCCGGTCTCAAGAACGATGTCAGGAGTAGATAAAGAGGACTCTCCCATTAATATGCTCCTGCTGTGTACTTACACGTTTGTGTTAATACTTGTGTATTGTACACACACGCATGTGTATTACTATATATCAAGCGTACATAATAGAGATATCTAATACATAGTAGAGATATCTAATACATAGTAGAGATATCTAATACATAATAGAGATATCTAATACATAGTCGAGATAACTAATACATAGTCGAGATATCTAATACATAATAAAGATATCTAATACATAATAGAGATATCTAATACATAGTCGAGATAACTAATACATAGTAGAGATATCTAATACATTATAGAGATATCTAATACGTAGTAGAGATACGTAATAGAGATATCTATTATGTACTCTTGCTATATATGGTATCACTAGTATTATTTACGACATATTATGAGTATTTATTATTAGTACCAGTATCCATACGGGCAGTTCTAACTGGCCGGGATCAGGCTGCCAAGCCGAGCGGTGGCGTTTATACAAGTGTTTACTAAGATAGATTACATATATAAGCCGCAGACATGCAGTGCGAAAAGCCCACGTAGATGAATATGTAGCATGACGATATGTCATTCGCAAAATTCTCGGTCGAAGGCAGGTAGTAGTTACTATCGTTCGCGCCTTGAACGTGTGTTAGTGCACAGTGTTACGCGGTGAACTAACGATAATTTCTTATTAATTAAAATTACGCATTAAGAAATTAATTAATACACAGCGATACTTAGTGGGAACTGTAGGAGCAGTAGCATAGACAGCAGCGGCCAGCCGCAGTAGGAGGGCAGCGAGCAGCGCAGTAGCGGAGTAGCTCAGTTAGCACGATAGCAGTAGCAGTAGCAGTAGTAGTTAGTGCACGCAGCAGCAGCAAGCTGGCAGCAGCAGTAGCAGCAGCAGTAGCAGTCAGCAGTAGCAGTAGACAGTAGGCAGAGCAGCAGTAGCGTAGCAGCAGCAGCAACAACAGCAGCAGCAGTAGCAGCAGCAAGCAACAACAACAACAACAGCAGCAACAGTAGCAGTAGTAGTAGCAGCAGCAGTAGCAGCAGTAGCAGCAGTAGCAGCAGCAGCAGTAGGAGCAGCAGCGAGTACCACTACCACACCAGCAGCCAGCAGCAGTACACCACACCACGCAGCAGGCAGCAGCAGCAGCATCAAGCGCAGCAGCAGCAGCAGCAGCAGCGTAGCAGCATAACAACACAGCCAGCAGGCATACACTACCACCACACCAACAGCAGCGCAGCAGTCACCACACACTACCACACACCAGCAGCAGCAGCAAGCAGCCAGCCAGGCAGCAGCATCAACAGCAGCCCAGCAGTATCACTACACCACCACCACAGCAGCAGCGCAGCAGCACCACACCACTACCACCACCACACCACCACGCAGCAGCAGCAGCAGGCACACACTCCACCACCACTATCACTACGACGCACCACCAGCAGCAGCAGCAGCCAGCAGCAGCAGCAGCAGCCACCACCACCCACAGCAGCAGCAGCCAGCATCAAAGCAGCGGTTAAGCGAGATTCACGAACGGAAACACAAAAGCACATGCATGTGTAAAGACGACATAATTATCAACCTACCCATATGCGCGCTCGCTCTCCTGCCAACCCTCGGCGCCAGGTCGCGTGCTGTGTAAGAACCCGGGTAATACCTTACTGTTAACCTACACTCGCACTCGCTGCTATTTATCTATATGTCGTGGCGATGTCCCTCTCTCTCCCAGGTATCGTCATCGTCGGCTGGCGTCGGAGTCACGGGGGCGTGAGCGTACGCAGTCTAACGTCGTCTCATAGAGCCGGCGGACAGGAACAGCGACGGTAGTGACGTCACGCGTGAGCTGGTCAGGGGGAGGATGAAGAGGAGGAGGAGGAGGAGAAAGGGAGGAGGAGGAGGAGAAAGGGGAGGAGGAGGTGAGGAGGAGGAGGAGGAGGAGGAGGGGGAGGCACGCGTAGGCTGCGTCACGAGTGGGGGCTACACCGGGAAACGAACGATCTAGGGGGGGGGGGAGGGATTACAGTCGCTATCAGGAGTCTATCAGGAGTCTATCAATATCAATATTCAATATCAATATCAATATCGGGAGTCTATTAATATTGATAGACTCCTGTCGCTATCATGTTCATAGTAGTTTACGATAGCAATCAGCACGATTAACATATTGTAAGTATTTGCTGTAAGTAACGCTAAAGTTCAAATTGTAAAAAAAAACACCGGACACAAACGCTCACGCGCACGCACGCACATGATCGCACGCACGCACGCACGCGCACATACACAAAAACGCATCACGCGCACGCACGCACATGATCGCACGCACGCACGCACGCGCCCATACACAAAAAAATAAAAAATAAACATATTTATAACAGTATTTAGTAAAACCACAATAAAGACGTAGGCATATGGTGTCATATATATTTATTGCAGTAGAGCGAGCTTTCAAGAGAATGTACGTTTCATCATCAGGCTACTAACAGAGCCTGTGAAGAATACTCCTCATGCAACCGCTTGCTCCTAACCTCTCCCTTCCACACACTATCCCCGAGGAAGGTTACAAGCTTATATAATCACCGGTCATAGACGTGTCATGTCATAAAGAACGAGTGACCGATCACATAATACGGGGCCCGATGAGTCATCACAATAAGTGAGTCGTAAGCTGCAATTCGTCAATAAATCGCAGATAAACACTTTATAAATTAGCTCAATTAATAAACACTTAATTTAAACTTATGTAAAAATGTAAATAAATTAGCGATATTTATTATATACATTTATTTGTTACATTTATAGTTGCAATACATTCAAGCGTAATATGGGTGCGGGACAGTAAAAATGTCAGCGTCCAAGAAGTATTATAAATTGTGATTATTTAAGGTTTTAACAGTAATTCATTGTCCTCATTGTGTTGTAGTGTTATTTAATGTTAGTGAAGTGACACAGTGAAAATGTATAAAGCATTGTATAGCTTTACAGCCAATGACTCACGAAGTCTGAGTTTTCAAGAAGGAGAGAAATTTGTTTTGCTCGACTCCTCAAATCCGCACTGGTGGCAGGTTCAGAACTGTCACGGAAAGAGAGGTTATGTTCCAGCGAAATATGTTACAAAGGACGAGGTAAATTGAAATTTTCTTCCCAAAACCTTGCAGCGCACATTGCGTGACTATGAGGGTGGAGGGTTAAACCTTTCCTCCACGGATGAGTTGACGCATGATCAAGTACACTGTACAGTGTTTTGAAAATTTGCAACAGGATGTTCTCTTGTTGATCGAGTAGTAACTCGGATAGACAGTGATGAAACCTCAGTTTGATTAGTGATAGTACGTGTTCAAGAAAATGCTGCGTTAATGTTTCAGCAACAACTGACAGTTTCTGAGTGGTACTACTAGTGTGTGACTGTGTGTGCATGCGTGTGAGTGTATGTGTGACCAATGTTATTGAAATCTTGTTGTCTTAGATACATCAAATTTGTCATCAACTATGAAATTAGTTGTAAATAAATAGACGTATCCACGTTACGTAAACATAGTGTCGATATTTTGTTGTTACCAGCATTGTGATATTTTAAGTGGATAGCTATCATCGCAAACTTAACGTGAATCATCTGAGTATGAACAACTGTGACGGCAGTCTCACTCTGTCGTGTCGCCATGTCGTCTGATAGTATGCATCGTGTTTCACGTTGTTTTCATGCTCTACAGGCACCCAGCGACGAGGTGTTGCTGTCGATAGACCGGGCCATTGAAGCAATTCATCTGTCTGCCATGGCTACTAGCGGGAAATACACGGAAGTACAGCGTCAGAATCTAGAGTAACTATCTACCTGCATTTGGCATATTTTCTTCTTATTAGTGATGTCTGCTACAGCATATGGCTGATTCAAAGGAAGAGTACATGGCAATCTGATCCTCACCCTTTATGAATGCAACGATAACTGACACCGTGTGTGTCGTATGTAAGTTTGTAACCTTGCTATCAGTAGAATTTCATTGCTCGTTACGAACACAAAAGCGCAATTGTAAATCGTCTGCATTTTATCAGCAGTTATTACCTTCGCCCAATGGAGTTGGAGCAGAGGTTATGTTTTCGCTCTCGTGTGTTCGCGTTAGACTGGTACTCGCTTCCACCTCGATTCCCCCATCGAGTAACTAAGCCGAGAGGTAGGACCGGGTACCAGTCTAGTGTGTTCGTGTGTTCGCGCGATCGATATTAGCGCGTCAGCCAGCGAGCCAGCTCGTAACAAATACATGTTACATTATCCTAACACAAGTATAAATCATAATATAAATAATAATCCTATAAATCTAACTGTGATTTGTGATATTGTATATATATATATATATATATATATATATATACACGAGTGAATGAAACACAATTGCGTGTGTTTCAGCTCAGCGCGTTATATACAAGCATAACTACATAAGAATGTCTTGCATAGTTATCGTACTGTCACCGCTGTCACCTGTCTGTGCACACTGTCACCCTAACCCTCACCTAATACAGCCGGGGCGCTTTCCTTGTCAATGTTGTCATCCATGTACGGCATGCCAAGATTATACATCGCAGACCCGCCGACACCGAACATGAAGTTCGCCGCCAGGAAGATGGCGTAGCTCGCCGCGTCTCCGCCATCGTCATCGTCCACACACGTCGTCGCCGTCGCCGCCGCGTCGTCGCCGCCCAGCACGCAGAGACGCGCGGCGGCGGCGGCGTTCGTCTGCGTGTCGTTGCCGCCGCCGACCAGCGATCGTCGCGCCGCCGCGTCGACGCCGCCGCCGAAGATGAAGTGCGGCAGCGCGAAGGCGAACACGGCGACGGCGGAAACGGCGGCGCCGATGGCGATGGCTAGCGGCTTGCGCGCGCGGCCGCCGTAGTACGACACGAAGACGACGAGCAGCAGATGTCCGACGTCGTTCATCGCCGAGACGACGCCGATCGACTGGCTGCTGAGCCGGAAGCGGCGCTCGATCGTCGTCAGCACCGCGGTCGCGTAGCCGCCGAACGTTCCCTTGCCCATGAGCACGAGCACGAACACGGCGCTGAAGCAGTAGACGTTCGCGCAGCGCTGCAGGCGCGGCAGCCGCGCGCCGCCGATGCCGCAGCGCGTCTCCTCCCACTCGTCGTCGTCGCTCGTCGTCTGCTCGCTGGCCGCCATCTTGTTTCCGGTAGCCATCTTGTTTCCGGTCGCTATTTTGTTTCCGGTCGCCATCTTGTTTCCGGTCGTCATTTTGTCGCCAGCAGGCAGCGACTTTGCGGTTACTCTTTTACTTTCTTTTTTTCTCTCTAGAACATCAAATATAGATACACTTCACTCAGTGCTATGAGTGATACAAGTAAACTTACTGAAACTAGTAGTTAGCTAAAGTGAAACTTTGTACACATTGCGCGCCGGTATGACTCGATCTGCTAGTCGCGTGTGAGTGAGAGCTATGAATGAATTAGTGCAAAAGAACTATATATACGATTTATTTCATTCGACAAAATTGTCAGGTCAGAATCTGACCTTATATAATTACCTTACTTAGGTACATACAGGTCGTACTTGCTGTGTGTGTGCTCGCGCGTGTGTGTGCGTGTGTGTGCACGCGTGTACGTGTTTGTGTGCTAGCTCGCGCGTGTGTATGCGTGTGTGCTGCTACGTGTTTGTGTCTCCTGCCTCGGCGCTCAGAGCATGCTATGTTGTGTTCGCTGCGTGTGTGTGCTCCGTCGCAGTGGTGTTGCGTGTGTGCGTCGTGTGGTGACACGCGTGTACGCCTGTTGCCGCTCGCGCGGATGTATGCGCCTGTGTGCGTGGTGCTCGGCGACGCGTGTACGTGTTTCGTGCTCGCGTGCGTAGTGTAGCAATGTGTGCGTGTGTGTGCGGGTGTTAGTGGCGTGCAGTGATTCACAGTGTGTACGTGTGCGCTGCGTTTGTGCTCGTTCGTACGTGCGTGAGTGCGTGTGCGCGCATACGTGCGCGCGTGCATGCGTTGGTGTGCGTGGTGTGGTGCGCGCGCGTCTGCGCGTACGTGCGTCTGTGCGTGCGTGTTGTCACCTGTGTCCTCATTATACACATAACCGCGCGGTGACCTTGTAAGAGATTGATCCAAATCCCTTCCCAGCCGATCAGTGTAACATCTTATTCCCATATAAAGGTTAAGATCGCTCCATCGCGCATTCGCCGCCTAAGCTGACGCCAGTCGATCGATGACGATGAGCGAGCGCGAAGCGACCTTCACATTTATTTGCATCGCGCAAGATATATATTGCTATCCCCCGGTCGCGCCATGGCATGATTTGATGACGCTCCACGCCCATGCACAAACTCAAGGATACCTTCGCTCACACATCACGGGTATGATGGAAACCACGACCACATCTCTATCCCGTACACCCTTCCCTTTAGAAATCCAGAACAAACACACTAAGTTTCGCTACCACCAAACTACTGCTGCAACCTGTGGAATTTTACGGCGCACTAAGTCATGGCCCCGGCCCTCTCTCCAAGCAGACGGCTATTTGTCAGGAGTTTTCCAAGAATATATATGCAAACGACACTCCTTCCTCGCCATTTAAGTGCCTCACCTGCTTCCTGAGCCTGGTGGTACCTATACACTTAATGTCGTATAATATGTGATTATTGAGCACACACGCATGTGTATTACTCATATATCAGAGGCGCACCCCAAATAAGATATTCTAATACTACAGTAGTAGTAGATATCTAAGTCAGTTAGAAGAGATAATCTCAACTACAAATAAAAATATACGACGACTAGGACACTAACTCACCATACGATCGAGATATACTAATAACATAGACCGAAGATTAATCTATTCTCACCCAAAGATACAAACAAAGAGATATCTTCATAGTCGAGAATAACTAAATAAAATAGTACCGCACCACTAATCTTAATACCATTAATCAGAAGGATATCTAAATAAGCGTAGTAGATGATAAACGTAAAGATAGAGATAGCTGATATATAAGGGTCTCTGGTGCAAATGGTATCCGTTACTATTCTGTTACGACACACCTCCCACCCCACGTTATTATCACATTCAAAATTAACGGAACCCCACAGGGGTTCATGACATTCATACGGGCACGGTTACAAGCGTTCGGGGGATCTGGAGTCAACGCAGCAGTGGTAGGCCGGCGCATCCTTCAGTGT